TCCCACTAAAAATCAACCATTTCCCACAAAATTTAACCTTTTGGGCCCCAAGTCCCCCATATTTGCCATCAGAATCGACCATTTCTACAAAATATCAAGTATTTGCCATCAAAATTGACCATTCCCTCTAAATATCAACCATTTAGCAAAAAAAACCCCTTAACGTCACCAAATCTCAAATATTTGCCATCAAAATTCACCATTTTTACTAATAATCAACCATTTTCCACAAAACTCAACCTTTTTTGCCCCAGATCTCAAGTGTTTGCCACCAAAATTGACCATTCCCACTAAATATCAAGCATGTACCACAAGTCGCAACATTTTTACCCCAAATCTCAAGTATTTGCCATCAAAATTCGCCCATTTCCACTAACAATCAACCCTTTCCCACAAATCTCAACCTTTTCTGCCCAAATCTCCAATATTTGCCATCAAAATTCACCATTTCCACTAGAAATCAACCATTAACCACAATAAAACCCTTTTTGTCCCCAAATCTCAAGTATTTGCCATAAAAAATGACCTTTCTCACTGAAAATTAACCATTTACTACAAAAAAACCCTTTTTGGCCCCAAGTCTCTCATATTTGCCATCAAAATTCACCATTTCCCCTAGAAATCAATGATTTACTAAAGAACTCAAGATTTTTGCTCCAAATCTCAAGTATTTGCCATCAAAATCGAACATTGTCACTTAAAATCAACCCTTTCCCACAAACCTCAACGATTCCGGAGCCAAGTCCCAACTCTTGGCCAGAAATTCTGACCGGTGAGAGCAAAGAGTCAAGTTTGGGGCAAAACAGGTGAGTTTTGGGTCGCAGGATCAAGGTTTGTGTTCAGGGGTTCAGGTTTGGGGCCAATGGACAAAGGTTCTGAGCTGAAACCTGCAGAGTTTGGGGTGGAACTGGAGAGATTTGGTGCCACCAGAAGCACCATAACCACCAGCACCATAACCAGCAGCAGCACCACCACTACCATAACCACCAGTGCTCTTCACGCAGTAGTAGGTGGCCGTGTCCTGGGCCGTGAGGCTGCTCATCTGCAGCGTGACCGTGCTCTGGGAGTTGTCCCTGGAGATGCTGCAACGACCCTTCACTGATGGCGCGTACTCGGTGTAACCACCATTGGTGGCCATTGGTGCCACCATCATCAGTCCAAATGGTTCCGACCCACTCGAGCCCCTTCCCTGGTGCCTGTCGCACCCATCCCATGTTGTAGCTGCTGAAGGTGAAGCCCGAGGCCTTGCAGAGGAGCCCAGGGACCCACCAGGGCTCTGGAGGCCACCTCCGGTCTCTAAATAAAGGGTTGAGAACTAAATATCAACCATTTACCACAAAACTCAAGCTTTTTTCCCCCAAATATCAAGTACTTGCCATCAAAATCGACCATTTCTACAAGATATCGACCAGGTGCCACAAAACTCAACCCTTTTGGCCCCAAATCTCCAATATTTGTCATGAAAATTCACAATTTCCACTAAAAATCTACATTTACAACAAAATTCAACCTTTTGGGCCACAAATCACAAGTATTTCTTCATAAAATTCACCATTTCCACTAAAAATGAACCATGTCCCACAAAACTCAACCTTTTCAGCCCCAAATCTCCAATATTTGCCATCAGAATTCCCCCTTTCCACTAAAAATGAACCATGTCCCACAGAAAACCTCTTCTTTGCCCCAAATCTCCAATATTTGCCACCAAAGTTGACCATTCCCACTAAACCTCAACCCTTTCCCACAAACCTCAACGTTTCCTGGCCCCAAATCTCCAAAAGCTGCCATGAAATTCGACCATTCTCACTAAATCCCCACAACCTGCCCCAAATCTCGACCCTCGGCCCCAACTCGACCGTTTCCACCCCAAATCTCGACCCCGTTCCCTAAATCTGCCCCATTTCAGCCAAACCTCTCCCAGGGGCAGCTCTGGGGCCTTTCCCATGGCCACGGTGCCCCCTTCCCCCCCCCAGGTAGGAGCAGCCCCCAGGCTGGGGAGGGTGAGGAGCGCGGCGGCGCCCGGACCCCATGGACCCACCAGGGCTCAGCTCTTCTTCTCCACCCACAGGTCTATGGGCGGCGTCCTCCCCCAGGGTCACGGCCGCCCATAGCCCTGTGGGTGGAGAAGAAGAGTTGAGCCCTGGTGGGTCCATGGGCTCCTCTGCAAGGCCTCGGGCTTCACCCTCAGCAGCTACGCCATGGGATGGGTGCGACAGGCACCAGGGAAGGGGCTCGAGTGGGTCGGAACCATTTGGAGTGAAGGTGGTGGCACCAATGGCCACCAATGGTGGTTACACCGAGTACGCGCCATCGGTGAAGGGTCGTTGCAGCATCTCCAGGGACAACTCCCAGAGCACGGTCACGCTGCAGATGAGCAGCCTCACGGCCCAGGACACGGCCACCTACTACTGCGCGAAGAGTGCCTATGGTGGTTATGGTAGTGGTGGTGCTGCTGCTGGTTATGGTGCTGGTGGTTATGGTGCTTCTGGTGGCACCAAATCTCTCCAGTTCGACCCCAAACTCTGCAGGTTTCAGCTCAGAACCTTTGTGCATTGGCCCCAAACCTCAACCCCTGAACACAAACCTTGATCCTGTGACCCAAAACTCACCTGTTTGCCCCCAAACTTGACCGTTTCCACTAATAATCAACCAACTACCACAAAACTCAACCTTTTTGGCCCAAAATCTCAAGTATTTGCCATCAAAATTGACCATTCCCACTAAATATCAACCATTTAGCAAAAAAAATCCCTTTTTGTCACCAAATCTCAAATATTTGCCATCAAAATACACCATTTCCACTAATAATCAACCATTTTCCACAAAATTCAAACTTTTTGGCCCCAGATCTCAAGTGTTTGCCACCAACATTGACCATTTCCACTAAATATCAAGCATGTACCACAAGTCTCAACATTTTTACCCCAAATCTCAAACATTTGCCATCAAAATTCACCATTTTCACTAAAAAACAACCATTAACTACAATAAAACCCTTTTTGTCCCCAAATCTCAAGTATTTGCCATAAAAATTGACCTTTCTCACTCAAAATCAAGCATTTCCCACAAAAAACCCTTTTGTGCTCGAAATCTCCAATATTTGCTGTCAAAATCGACCATTTCCACTAAAAATCAACCATTTACCAGAAAACTCAGGTTTTTTACCCCAAATCTCAAGTATTTGATGTCAAAATTGGACATCTCCACTAAAAATCAAGCACTTACCACAAAACTCAACATTTTTGCCCCAAATCTCCAATATTTGCCATCAAAATTGAGAATTCCCACTAAAAATCAACCATTTCCCACAAAACTCAACATTTTTGGACCCAACTCTCAACTCTTGGCCATAAATTGTGGCTCTTTCCGGCAAAGAGTCAATTTTAGGAACAAACCAGGTGAGTTTTGGGTCACAGGATCGAGGTT